CAGGGCACCAGGTTACACAGGGCAGACGGCACACAGGGACCCTCTTCACAGCCCAGGTTCCACAGGGCACCAGGTTACACAGGGCAGACGGCACACAGGGACCCTCTTCACAGCCCAGGTTCCACAGGGCACCAGGTTACACAGGGCAGACAGCACACAGGGAGCCTCTTCACAGCCCAGGTTACACAGGGCGCCAGGTTACACAGGGCACCAGGTTACACAGGGCGCCAGGTTACACGGGGCAGACAGCACACAGGGAGCCTGGGGGAGGGGACTGGGGTGGGATAGCCGTCCATACTTCACAGGAGGGAGCCCGGGTTATGACTGATCAGCTAACGATTGCATCAAAAGCATCGGGCGAAATCAGCGGCGTGCCAGTCAGGAGAGATCCATCACACAAGCTAGGGCCCGTGGGCTCTGGAACTGCTATCTCCCCCTCACTCTCAATCGCTCTCTCTTTGGTCTGTTGGGCCTGTCAGTGTCAGACTGAGCCATGCTGGAGCTGGAATCGAAGCCTTCCTCCCCTGTTGTGACATTCACAGCATTTCAATTGAGCCATCAATCTGTCAAGCCACACTGCTGCTAAGCCAGGCGAGAGTACACACTGAAAGAGAGAGTGCTGGGGTTGGACGTGGATGTACCTTTTCCCCTTTCGCCGCCTCACTGTAGTTAGTGTCTATTGAGCACAATATGTACTGAACATCATGTGACAAAAGAGGGGTGTTCGGGGGTGGCTATGCAGAAGTTGTTTTAGACCTTGTTTTTCCTTCTCGTGTTTTCTCTTCCTGTGTATTCCACTGATGCCGATTTGAACTTTCACATTCTCTAACTATTGCTTCTCTCTCCCTCTCTTTCTGTGTTTGTTTTTGTTCTTCTTCAGACCGGGCTTCTGTAAGGAGGAGATAAAGTCCTCCAGTAGGACAGTCCCCTCCTCGCAGTCCCCGTCTGACTTCCTGGACAAGCTCATGGGGAAAAGGTCTGGCTATGATGCCCGCATCAGACCCAACTTCAAAGGTACCTTAAGTATGTTAAGAAGTGGGCCACAGCTCCCATAAAAAACACAGAAACTTCTCGGAATGAATGCAAGCAGACAGCCACCTTTCTTTTAATACAAAGTAAGATAGGACGTGCCTGTAGAAGTGGATATGAAGCATAGAACTGCTCACTTGCTTACTTAGTTTGAGTAAGTTAGAATTGTATCCATAAATGTACCCAGATTTCTATTAATAGTAAATAGTTTGATTACTGAATGCCATAATGTAATTCTTTTGTTAGATACTTCTCCCTATTAGCTGAAATCATATATTTTTGAAGCCATTTTAGCCGTCGCGCTAGCTGTTCAGTCCGAACATATTCACAAATCATGGGAATTCATCGTGCTATGCAGACTCGGTCTCCCTCCGAGGCACGTGTTGCTAGGCAACCCTCCTGCACTTGCCTGGGCTGGCCTGCTCCCTCCATGGCTAAAGCCAGTGTGGGGAATGTGCTAACAAATGTTTGTGCTATGAAACTAAATAAATACTGCACTCTGTCCCACAACTTTTTTACTAGATTCATGATAGTGTTGTTAGACAAGGCAAGGAAAGTGAACTAATTTTGCCCGTGCTAACTTTCAATCAAACCATAACTGAATGCCTCAATGCCTGCCTGCTTTATATAGCAAGCTATGGCTACGTGACTCCCTGTCTGTAAGAGCTAACCATTTTCATGAACAGGGCGGTGTACCTAATTAACTGGCCACTGAGTGGATATTTCATACTTGCACCACATCAGAGAGTTGACAGCAAGACACTCTCCACTTCCTGTACATACAATAACCCTCAGTGTCATTCAAAGATTTCTAAATGATCTCTAACAAACTTTTACACATCAGGTCAAACAGTTGAAAGGATTCTTCCATATAAGGAGTGATGGATTGTCTTTTTATTCATTTTTCAGGTCCGCCTGTGAATGTCACCTGCAATATTTTCATCAACAGCTTTGGGTCCATCACGGAAACTACTATGGTGAGTCAACTGAGTAACTTGAATTTCCACAGTGAATTAACATCCTAGAATTAGAAACCATTCATAATTTTAAGCTAATAATTGACTGTGTTGCCGACTGCTGCCATCTTGAACGGGTCTCAAAGAGACAAACCAGTATAAAGAAAGGTGAAATAAAAAATGTAAATTAATATACGCTTTATACAAAATACCATAAATATCCAGGTAGCATGATAACCCTAAGGCAGTCTCATTGTTTTGTAATCATGAATTATCGTGATACAAATCTTATTTGAGCAGGTATACACTAGCTAAATCCCAGAATTTACAAAAGATAAATCTAAAGGATCTCCTCCAGCTAATACAATACCCTGTTAATTCCTACCCTTTGGCCTGCTCAATATTGGAGCAATTCCCTCACCTCTCTCCCTTTTATTTCCTGGAGTCTATAAGAGCAACCTTCAGAGACCAGTGGGTCAGTGATGTTCTGATAATGAACTGTCCGCTCTGCAATTAAAATGAAAAATTGGAGAAGAAATGAGTGAAATGGAGAGAAGAGAAATATAATCTCTCCCTGTAAGCCTGTCCAATACAAGAGGGAAAGTGCTTGGTCAGTAGATTGTAGCAGTAAACTGTTAAAGGTTATTGGGCACAGAGGGCTTGACCCCAGGTTAGGTCAGTGTGGACAGAGAGGACACTAATGATGTCACTGGACAATGTGGTAAAGGCCTAGTGTTTATTGTGATAAATGTGTTGTGCTTTCCTTTGTTTGTTTGTTTGTGGTACCTCATGGGAACAGAGACAGACAGTTGTAAACTGCTGGAGAAGAACACAGACACAGCTGAGTCTTTCAATACCATGAGGATTTACTAAAATGATTTACTTGAATAACTCCTGTGAATAAATTAGGACGTTAACTTTTTGTGGAATTTACCCAATTTCAAAGTAGCTATTCATTGATTTTGCTTCACACAATGCAGATTTTTGTCATTTCAACAGGCACTGAACAGAACTTAGATTAACCCAGAATATGGTACTTCAGCCTGCACTAGGTATTCTAGGTTGTTGTCTGTGATTTCCACCTTTACAAATGGACAAAATGTAAATTACTCCTGCATGACTCCTAATTCCATTAGTATAACCCTAAACTACATAGATTCACCCTACTTTTCAAACAACCAATTAAAATGTGTCGCATTGTCTTGGCTATAATTAACAACAGTAAAGGTTATTAATTTAATCAGACTTCCCACTTTACATCAGAGACAGACGATCATGAACTGAACAAGCTAATTAAATAATTGAAACCTGGCAACGTTATCACTTCATTAATTGCCTCCTATAGTGTGTGACAAGGTATGACACACTGTCTCGAACTACTATGTCTCAATCTCGATTCATCTTCCACAATTCCTCACATCCTACATCCTATCTCCTCGCCTCCTTCTCAGCCGCAATCGAGGAGAAGTTCCAAAGTCCATCCCCTCTGACCTTCTCTAGTGCGTTTTTGAGGAGGAGGCGAAGAAAGAGGATGCGAGGAATCGAGAAACAATTAATTGAGAAAGGGACAATTACTAAATTTCTTGTTCAATCCACAGGACTACAGGCTTAATGTGTTCCTACGGCAAAAATGGAACGATCCCCGTTTGGCTTACCAGGAGTACCCAGACGACTCCTTGGACCTGGATCCTTCCATGTTGGACTCCATCTGGAAGCCTGACCTTTTCTTCGCTAATGAGAAGGGGGCTAACTTTCACGAGGTCACCACCGACAACAAACTGCTGCGGATCTTCCAAGATGGGAGTGTACTGTATAGCATCAGGTGAGCAGAGACAGTTCGGTGTGTGGCCACAGGGGGAGCTAGTAAGTTATTCAAGACAATTCTGGCTATGGCCACGGGGGAGCTAGTGAGTTATTCAAGATGCTTCTGTCTGTGGCCACAGGGGGACCTAGTGAGTTATTCAAGATGCTTCTGTCTGTGGCCACAGGGGGAGTTAGTGAGTTATTCATCACATGAACTTTGATACCAATATATTAGCCCCACAATCAAAACCAAAGTTTTGAGTTGATCTATCTCTCCTCCAACATTCATGACCCCATGAAAGGAATTGAAAAACATGCAGTTGGTTACAACGGCAGATTTATTTGCTAACAATGATCACACACTAGTCCAAAAGGCGTTTTAGTAGCTACCTCTCTGAAACCGAGGACGCAGAGAAACTTTGAAGGCTCATTCGTCAGTGTATCTGTGGGCGATTTATTTTTTTTGCCTGGAATTTCACGTTATCGCAGCACAATAGTGATGGGGCTCCTGCTGCGAGTAGTGTAGCGCTGGTGGCTCTCGTCTGTCCTCTGGGCTGCGAGTAGCGTAGCGCTGGTGGCTCTCGTCTGTCCTCTGGGCTGCGAGTAGCGTAGCGCTGGTGGCTCTCGTCTGTCCTCTGGGCTGCGAGTAGCGTAGCGCTGATGGCTCTCGTCTGTCCTCTGGGCTGCGAGTAGTGTAGCGCTGGTGGCTCTCGTCTGTCCTCTGGGCAATGCATTACAGCAGGTAATTACACGGCTTCTCTTTTAACTCAAATTCCCTAATAGTTCCTTCTCTTTCCCACGGCTCCTTGAAGGCTCAATGCGTCAGCGCCTCAATCAATAAAAGGAAGATGTCTACCAATTAGTTTGCTATTGTAACCAAATGGCATTGTAACTCACAGCATCCTTTACAATTAGCCTTTTTTTGTTCGTGCGGAAAAATGCTCACAATTCATCCCGTAATGTATAGTACAATGTTAATCTTGAGGTAGGTCGTAAAACTGTCCACCGTCGAAGCATTAGGTGAGTTTAAATAAAATGTCTGCCCTGTGAAGTCCCTTTACTGACCTTTGCAGCTGTCCTCCTTGCCTCGGTCTTCATTTCTCCCTGTATGTTGTAATTCTCTTCTTTCACGCTCTCCTTTGCCCTTTACCTTCACCTAAAACTGCCCTTCTCTCTTTCTATCTCAGGCTGACTCTCATCCTGTCCTGCCCTATGGACTTGAAGAATTTCCCCATGGATATTCAGACCTGTACCATGCAGCTTGAAAGCTGTGAGTCTCCCTCTATCTCCTTCTTCCTCTTTGTCTTCCTTCCTCTCCCCTTTTCACAGCTATTAGCTTCCTCTCCCCTTTTCACAGCTATTAGCTTCCCCTCCCCTTTTCACAGCTATTAGCTTCCTCTCCCCTTTTCACAGCTATTAGCTTCCTCTCCCCTTTTCACAGCTATTAGCCTCCTCTTCCCTTTTCACAGCTATTAGCTTCCTCTCCCCTTTTCACAGCTATTAGCTTCCTCTCCCCTTTTCACAGCTATTAGCTTCCCCTCCCCTTTTCACAGCTATTAGCTTCCCCTCCCCTTTTCACAGCTATTAGCTTCCTCTCCCCTTTTCACAGCTATTAGCTTCCTTTCCCCTTTTCACAGCTATTAGCTTATAGATGGAGCATTTTAAGTTGTGAAATTCTTAAGAGATATTATCATCACAAAGGAGTGACATTGATTTGAGGTTACATTCAATGCCTGAATGTGACAGGCTAGGTTTTGAGTTGCTGCTTTTATCAAACATCCTCTGATGATGGTTACTCTTGCAAAATTAAAGATGGACTTTCTGACACCGGCTTGTGTAGTCACTGACTCTGCAATAACAAATTACAGGCTAGCTTTGACAGTGATATCCCGTCAGGGTAATGAAATGCATGTGCGGTGTACCAAACATGTAGGAATCTCTTCATAAAAAATATAAATAGAGCAAAGTCAGTCGATAAATCCTGTGCATAGCATGTCCTTCCTTATTACCTAGATAAAAGGTAAAGAAAAAAATAATTCAATTCGCTGCCCCCAGCACTGATAGCATCTGCCCCCCCACAAATCCAATTTCCAGGATATCAATAATGAAACCTTCATTTTGTGTTCCCTTTTATTCTATGACCCACCCCTGGCGCCCGCCACCAGGCCAGACAAGATAACTTAAGTCTAGTGAATATTCCTATTGCTTTCCCACTCTCTGTTTCAATTGGAAGATTTATACTAGTGTAGGAACTTATTGAAGCATATACACTGAGTATACCAAACATTAGGAACACCTTCCTAATATTGAGTTGCACCATCCCCCCTTTTGACCTCAGAACAGCCTCTGTAGAGTACCACAGTATGAGTCATAATACCCATAAAACCTAGCGGTCAAACAGGGAAATGGTTCCAATCGTTTTTCCATTGGAACCATTTCCCTGTTTGACTGCTAGGTTTTATGGGTATTATGACACCTCCACTGTGGGGCTCTATTCGTCAGGACATGGACTCTACAAGGTGTCAAGCGTTCCACAGGGATGCTGGCCCATGTTGACTCCAATGCTTCCTACAGTTGTATATATATATACTGTTGGTAGAGCATGGCGCTTGCAACGCCAGGGTTGTGGGTTCGATTCCCACAGGGGGCCAGTATGGAGAATTTAAAAAAATTATGCACTCACTAACTGTAAGTCGCTCTGGATAAGAGCGTCTGCTAAATGACTAAAATGTAAATGTAAAATGTCCTTTAGGTGGTGGACCATTCTTGATACACACATGAAACTGTTGAGCATGGAAAAACCCAGCAGCGTCGCAGTTCTTGACACAAACCGGTGTGCCTGGCACCTACTACCATCTTGCCCATTCACCCTCTGAATGGCACACAGACAATCCATGTCATAATTGTCTCAAGGCTTAAAAATCCTTCTTTAACCTGTCTCCTCCCCTTCATCTACACTGATTTTGAAGTGGATTTAACAAGTGACACCAATAAGGGATCATAGCTTTCGCCTGGATTCACCTGGTCAGTCTATGTCATGGAAAGAGCAGGTGTTCTTAATGTTTTGGATACTCAGAGTATACACATTTCAATGCCAAATGTGATAAAGATTAATACATATATTTTTGGAAATCAACATGCAGATGCATGTACAGATGTAGGATCTTAATTTGACCTATATTGTCACAGCTAAATAATCGTGCAGCAACAGGATTTGAAAGTTGAGGTCAAAATGTTGCTTGATCGGTAGATAGGCTATTAGTTGGCCAAAAGTAGGCTACATGAAAAGTGCTATACTGTTAATATAACCATGTTGGTTTTCTGTGAATTTATGCAAATCATGAAGCTCAACTGCATTTACTGCGGTGCAGGAAAATTCACTGCAAAAAAAAGGTGATCAAATTAAGATCCTACATCTGTTAGGTTCACTATTCTCAGCATTGCCCTACAGAGTAACCCTATACCCCCCCCCCCCCCCCCCCCCCGCCCCTCTTTTTTAGTCGATGAGTACCTGCCCCCCTAAATGTTTCCACTCATTGTCTGCAGTTAAACCCTCCTAAAGTGTGGAGAGCAAGTGAGGAGAGAAATCTGCGGAGAACGCGCCAGCAGGTTTACTACCTGACAGGGCCATTACAGGAGTCCTAATCCTTTCTGATTAAATGAAGCCCTCCTCTCCATGGCTCTAAAGGGGCAGGCCAGCTCTGTTTTGACAAGTGTTACTACACTGCCCAAGGGTGTGGTCACCTTGGCTGCCCAGGGAGGACATGGTGAGGACACAGTTGCAGGTTTAACTGCCACGCGATGTGCCAACTGCCAAAGCTGCCACATTGAGGGTGAGAGCCAGGAGAGAAAAGAGAGGGGGGAGAGGGAAAGAGGGAGGGGTCTGAGGATTCCAGGCCAGTGCTGTTTGTTAGCCGTAATCTTGATGCCTTGAGCTCTAGTAGATATAAATAGACCTTCACATGTTAATGTTTGCCTTATTCTGACAGATCATGTAGCTATATCCTACTTCAAGCAATCTTTAAAACCATCATGTGTTCTCGTGACCCAATTTGGTATCATTAAGCCAGTAAGTATATGGATAAAGTGTACAGTGCATTCGGAAAGTATTCAGACCACTTATTTTTCCACATTTTGTTACGTTACAGCCTTATTCTAAAATTGATAAAATACAAAAAAAATTCTCATCAGTGATATATATTTTTATACATTTGCAAAAAAATCAAAATCACTGTGTTTTGTCATTATGGGGTATTTTGTGTAGATTGATGAGGGGGAAAAAATGATTTAATCAATTTTAGAATAAGGCTGTAAAGTAACAGTGGTGGTGGCGTTGTTTTCAAGCTGCTGGTAAGGATTGGGGGGATAATATCTTCAATAACTGATGTCTTTGTTACTCGGGCACCAGATGGACGTCAGTATTATTCAGATGTGTCAAGTATACCACGGCAGCCTCAGTTTACTGTCCTTTGTCTGAGGCGAGGCATTCCCAATCAACTCCTGTAAGCTGTGCTCCCATGGGCGCGCAAAGCAATTACGGTTTCGTCTTGAGTGGTTACGTATGTCCGCTTGGTCGAGTGTGATGTATGTTTGCTTACACAGTAACCTTGCCAAACTGACCGGCTTTGCGGGTCTTCAGCGGCGCAAACACGTGTAAGCGAATGCAAGGGCAACCCTGCATCCATTAAGCCATCAGCTCTCGCTGTCGGGGAGGCATGCACCTCACGTTCACCCTTCGCATTCAACCTTCAAGCAACCGGTCTGCCACTTTGGAAGCTGTGGCGTATGACCTTTTATCATGACAAACAGGCGGGGAGGGAGATGTGAACGGAATGGCAGCTGGACTGAGGGACGTCACACTGTATACCCCACACCTCTCTCTCCCTCTACCACCCTCTCTCCATTTACACCTCGGTCTATCTCGGTCCAACCCTCCATCTCTCCCTTTCTCAACTCTCTCCCTCTCTCCATATGTCTATATCGTTTAGGCTTGGGCGGTATACCGTATACCAGGGTATTTGGAAATGGCCACGGGATGGTTTTTCAATACTGTCAATACCATTTGAAACTTTCTTTGAAGTTTTCCAATACATTTTTATATTTGTAGCTACTTTTTAAGTAAATACCTGCAATCAACTTGTGCAGTATGTTAGGAGATAAAGCCGGTTCTTCAGTTAACCCTTCACATTATTTTACATTATGAAGCTTATAGTTCCCCAGAACATTTGAGCCAGTCACGTGTAAATAGCACAAAGGGTGAAAGCCGGAGCAGGTGAGTCCAGCTGTGTATTGACGGGTCGTGTTTCATATTAAAAGTCAAGTGTTTTTTTGCTTCAATAGAGTGATCAGGGACGTGCAACTATAGTTTTCCTTCACAGAAAATAGCTTCATTTTCATGAACAGAAGTGGAACACTATTTGGCTGGCAGCCTCACAAGTAAACAAGTTTTTTGCAAAAACAATGCATGGCCATCATATTTCTAATGTTTATCATAGAAAGAATGTAGCCTACATTCTTAATGTTTTGCTTAAAGTTAATCTGGGTAGGTTGGCTATACCAAGAAAAGTACAGGAGAAAAAAGCTACACATCAGTCAGAGTGCTGTCTGCAGATAGAATGCCAGTTCGTGAATTCTCATCTGAGTGGAGAGGTGCAACTGAAGCACAAAATGTGTGTGATGCCCAGCAGAAATTACAAAAATAAGCATTTTAGATCTGCGTTTACAAAATGCAGCATGAGATTTCTTACCCGTATTATCTTTATTTCCTGCGGGAAAAATTAAGAATTCTGCGTTAATGCGACCCCTAAGTTTAACTTCCCTTACGAAAAAAGATTGCAGTATAACCGAGGTACAATGCAGTATAACTGCAGTTAAATTGCAGTCTAACTGCAGTATGCTGCAAATACTGCTTTTTAAAAAACGTTTTTTTTACTGCAGTAATTTTGCAGTACACTGCAGTTATTCTGCAATTACCACATCCAAAATACCACAGTCGACTGCAGTTACTGCACTTTTACTGCAGCTTAAAAAACAGTTTTTTTTTTTTACGGTTTGCTATTTATCTAAGTAAGTTACTGAATTAATAAGGTGACTTAGCTTTCTGCCATGTTTGAGAAGTCAAAACCCTTTGGATGAGTTACCTGTACAGCTGCCACTGCTATCCATTGTACTCCTCCGTTCTCGGCCTGTCTGCTCCTCCTGGTCTGCTCTTCTCCGAGCAGAGCAGGCAGGCCCATTGCTCTAGCTACTCCAGACAGACATAGCGTGGACACATGCTGCTTCAGAGCAGACAAGCATGCATCAAAACTTTGTTCATTTGTGCAATGTCTCTCATTCACATTCGCTTGTAAATGTCCAAACTCACCAAAAATGACATTCGGTAGCTCCTACATATATTTATAACTTTATGAGCTGGATTGTCTGTCTTTGCAATTTGTTTATTATCGTTTGTGCTTGTTAGCATATTTAGCTAGCAGCCTCAATGAAAAATCGCTATTACTTGTGCTACTTTTGTTAGCATTCTGGTAACAGATGCCCCCTTGTGTACTAAGCAGGTAATACCGTAAATCCCGGAATGAGAGAAGGACGATATGAACATCTGGAAACCGCCCAACCCTAATATCTTTCCCTTTGCACCTCTGTCTCCATTTCTCATAATCTCTCCCACCCCTCCTCCCCTCACTCTCTCGCTCTCTGTAGTTGGGTATACCATGAATGATCTGATCTTCGAGTGGTTGGCCGAGAACCCGGTGCAGGTGGCTGATGATCTGACGCTCCCACAGTTCGTGCTGAAAGATGAGCAGGATCTGGGCTACTGCACCAAGCACTACAACACAGGTGGGACCTTGGTGGAACTTCACTTCAATTGTTCTTCTGATAGAAACAGAAATTACAGTATAGAGGTTTGGGGATTGAATCCAAGTTTAAGAAAAGAGTTCAGAGCATAAAGACGGTGCTTTTTGCTCACTTAGTTTACATGAGAAAAAATATATAATTAAGTCCCGAATGGAGTAGCAACAACTTCCTTCTCAATATAGACCAGTGGCAACTTTTCTAACCTACACAATTCTTCTGAATATGCCAAAAAGACTGACACAAATACTTACCATTGCTATTGTCTCTGGTGGCAGGTAAATTCACCTGCATCGAGGTTAAGTTCCACCTGGAGAGACAGATGGGCTATTACCTGATCCAGATGTACATCCCCAGCCTGCTCATTGTCATCCTGTCCTGGGTCTCCTTCTGGATCAACATGGATGCTGCCCCGGCTAGAGTGGGCCTGGGCATCACAACCGTGCTCACTATGACCACCCAGAGCTCCGGATCCCGGGCCTCTCTACCCAAGGTGAGCAGAGATAAGGGTCTACCAACATCAGGGATAGTGTTAAAAAGTAAGACAAGTAAGCGGGATGATGGATGGCGAGTATAGTAAGTGCTAGCAATGCTAAGGCGCGTAAACACTATTCACCAGATGCGTCACTGTCAACGCAGAGCTTGTAGGAACCGCTAACATTGGTGGGTATGTATCAGAATCTTTCAAATTGTTTCAGTCCAATCAGATGACTCCTCTCCCAATGCTGATTGGCTCTTTCAGATGTCACTTTAGTAGGCTGGCTCAAAGTAGACCGTGCCAATTTTCGAAGTATGAAGCTAAGCTCGATCTGATGTTACACCTGGTTATCGTCACCTGCCAGATCAACGGAACGCAATGTAATGGTCCAGTTCATAACCAATACTTCCAGCATCTGCAATGCTTGCCATGACACACATGTGGATGTACAGTGAGGGGAAAAAGTATTTGATCCCCTGCTGATTTTGTACGTTTGCCCACTGACAAAGACATGATCAGTCTATAATTTTAATGGTAGGTTTATTTGAACAGTGAGAGACAGAATAACAACAAAAAAATCCAGAAAAACGCATGTCCAAAATGTTATAAATTGATTTGCATTTTAATGAGGGAAATAAGTATTTGACCCCTCTGCAAAACATGACTTAGTACTTGGTGGCAAAACCCTTGTTGGCAATCACAGAGGTCAGACGTTTCTTGTAGTTGGTCACCAGGTTTGCACACATCTCAGGAGCGATTTTGTTCCACTCCTCTTTGCAGATCTTCTCCAAGTCATTAAGGTTTCGAGGCTGACGTTTGGCAACTCGAACCTTCAGCTCCCTCCACAGATTTTCCATGGGATTAAGGTCTGGAGACTGGCTAGGCCCCTCCAGGACCTTAATGTGCTTCTTCTTGAGCCACTCCTTTGTTGCCTTGGCCGTGTGTTTTGGGTCATTGTCATGCTGGAATACCCATCCACGACCCATTTTCAATGCCCTGGCTGAGGGAAGGAGGTTCTAAACCCAAGATTTGACGGTACATGGCCCCGTCCATCGTCCCTTTGATGCGGTGAAGTTGTCCTGTCCCCTTAGCAGAAAAATACCCCCAAAGCATAATGTTTCCACCTCCATGTTTGACAGTGGGGATGGTGTTCTTGGGGTCATAGGCAGCATTCCTCCTCCTCCAAACACGGCGAGTTGAGTTGATGCCAAAGAGCTCGATTTTGGTCTCATCTGACCACAACACTTTCACCCAGTTCTCCTCTGAATCATTCAGATGTTCATTGGCAAACTTCAGACGGCCCTGTATATGTGCTTTCTTGAGCAGGGGGACCTTGCGGGCGCTGCAGGATTTCAGTCCTTCACGGCGTAGTGTGTTACCAATTGTTTTCTTGGTGACTATGGTCCCAGCTGCCTTGAGATCATTGACAAGATCCTCCCGTGTAGCTCTGGTCTGATTCCTCACCGTTCTCATGATCATTGCAACTCCACGAGGTGAGATCTTGCATGGAGCCCCAGGCCGAGGGAGATTGACAGTTATTTTGTGTTTCTTCCATTTGCGAATAATCGCACCAACTGTTGTCACCTTCTCACCAAGCTGCTTGGCGATGGTCTTGTAGCCCATTCCAGCCTTGTGTAGGTCTACAATCTTGTCCCTGACATCCTTGGAGAGCTCTTTGGTCTTGGCCATGGTGGAGAGTTTGGAATCTGATTGATTGATTGCTTCTGTGGACAGGTGTCTTTTATACAGGTAACAAGCTGAGATTAGGAGCACTCCCTTTAAGAGTGTGCTCCTAATCTCAGCTCGTTACCTGTATAAAAGACACCTGGGAGCCAGAAATCTTTCTGATTGAGAGGGGGTCAAATACTTATTTCCCTCATTAAAATGCAAATCAATTTATAACATTTTTACATGCGTTTTTCTGGATTTTTTTGTTGTTATTCTGTCTCTCACTGTTCAAATAAACCTACCATTAAAATTATAGACTGATCATTTCTTTGTCAGTGGGCAAACGTACAAAATCAGCAGGGGATCAAATACTTTTTTCCTCACTGTACCTTAACTGGATAAGTAGCTGCTGCCTCTTGCTAGGCCTCTAGATTCGTTAGACTGGATAAGCAAATATCACAATAGCTAGGCCATGTCTAGACATGTAGCTGGCAAACTATTACTATGGAATTTCAAATTTGAGTTTGACCTGTTTTGACCTTGGTGTGTTCCTGAATAGAGCGGAGTTGACTTTCCCTGGGTTTTACTGTGACCTCTCATGGATGATGTGTCTGCCTGTATCTTATTGACTCCCATTGGAATTCTGAGCCAATCTGAGTATATGGCTCCATAGTCTGCCTGGTTGAGGGATGGGCTGAAAGTTCTTGCGCCACACCCCCGTCATTATGTACACCAACATCTCCATTGATTGGCTATTGATGACCCGGTGACCTTGTGTGCCCCTTGCCTGCGTCTCCAGGTGTCCTACGTGAAGGCCATTGACATCTGGATGGCTGTGTGCTTGCTGTTCGTGTTCGCCGCGCTGCTCGAGTACGCAGCAGTCAACTTTGTCTCACGGCAACACAAGGAGTTCATCAGACTGAGGAAGAAGCAGCGGCGGCAGAGAATAGTAAGTGTAAACCACCACGCACCAACCTGTCATCTCCTATCACACTGACTTACGCCCCATGTTATTGTGCGCCACTGTTTATTCAGAAACTGACAACGGCAACACGCTACAGCTGGCCGTCACATTACACAAGAAAGATCAGCTTGTTTCAGACTCAGCTCATTCCCATGGTGAGCACTGACCTGCACAGAGGTCTGTGTGCTCCCGGCTCCCGCCAGCACCCCATTCCCCTGCTGTGTTAACAGGCTGTTCTCCAGCCTCACATCACTGGAACTCTGGGAAAGTAATACAGGGGGTTTTAAAGGCTGAACAATAGCTTAGGAGTTAAATTGCTGATCTGAAGTATTACTTTCCAGCCAAACAACCAATCCACCATGTACCCACTTGTAGAGGGTGGAGAGCGGTAGTGCTACTGAGAGCATATGATCAAATAGGAGACCCTTTAGCGAAACGGAATTCAATCTCAAGAGCAGAGACAACAGAGTCCGAAGGAATCACATTCAACTGTGCTCCAAAATGGCTGGGCTGCTTTCCCAGACTTGTAGTAAAGCTTCCACTGTCCAGGGCAGACAAATCCCACAGATTTAGTAGACCGTCTACTGGACCCAAATCAATAACAGGAGAGAAAATGATTGTCCATGAGAGCAAGAAGTAACTCCTCCCATAGACGCGGGAAGATTTTTTTGTCCACGCTACAGACGGCTATATCGGTCCGCTAACACAGGACTAGTAAAGGGCCAGTGCACTATTTTTGTGTGGAAATATTAATATTGTTTTTTAATTCTGATTTTTCAGGGGGTGCTGCAGCACCATCGGCACCCCTACTTCCCGCGGCTATGATTCCTCCTCTCCACATCAGTTGGGCAATTACTCCCATCGAGAAATGTATCGAGAATTATCCATAGGGTGGTATTGACGCAAGGCCTTGGGCTGATGGAGCACACCTAGCTACCGCCACTGACTGACCAGGGTTAATCAATAGCTACTGTACCTCCATGCTTGGCTTTGAAAAACCAGAGAGAGCAGTCAGACCCTAAGCCCCATGTACCCATGGACCTCTACTGTATACACTACAGCTTACGTCATACAGGAAATAAAATGTGTGTTATATTGTAGGGTTTTTGCTGAGCCAAAAATTGTAGGTTGTTTGCAGAGCCAACAATTGTAGGGTGTTTGCAGAGCCTACTCTAGTTCCTTAAGGATATTTTTCTCAGCCTCCTGAGCCACAGTAATTCCCTTGGTAACAGCTATGGAAGATGTATCGTACGTTCAACGTTTTCCTTTTTTTTCCTGACCTAAAGGCTAAATAGCATAGCTTGTTTTCCGTTTAGTTCTGCACCACGTTTGATACATTTTATGTCCACATCTTTTATCACTCATTTTGGCTCAAAGCTAGTGCTTTAGCTGAATTTGGAATGAAGCAGAGAAAATGTCCTGCACTCAGCAAAAAGCAGATGAGCATTTCTGAGGAATTACGTTTTGGAGGAACGAAGCGAATAATTATCTAGAATCTTGTAATATCATAAAAGCTGAGCAAATAAGTACACAATCCAATGTGCAACTGGTTTCTGACTGGTATTAAAAGAGAGAATAGCATGGTTTATGACTGGTATTAAGAGAGAATAGGATGGTTTCAAATGGTATTATTCCAATCTGTGTACTTGCTCCTTTCCCTACGGAGGCCCTGGCCTTGGCCAATCAACCGGGGAGTGTAGAGTCACTGAGGAAAGTGAACGACCTGCCTGGCAACAACACTACCAGCACCAGCTACCAAGGGAACTTGAATCAGCACTGCAGCGCCTGTGCCAGGGTAAAACCGACCCCTGTGTCACCTCTGACCCCAAACCGAATGTCTTCCGCCACTTCTGATCCCCAGACAGAATGTGTTCTGCCCCACCATGTGTCGAGTATTTGATCCCTTGCTGATTTTGTACGTTTGCCCACTGACAAATAAATGATCAGTCTATAATTTTAATGGTAGGTTTATTTGAACAGTGAGAGACAGAATAACAACAAAAAAATCCAGAAAAACGCATGTCAAAAATGTTATAAATTGATTTGCATTTTAATGAGGGAAATAAATATTTGACCCCCTCTCAATCAGAAAGATTTCTGGCTCCCAGGTGTCTTTTATACAGGTAACGAGCTGAGATTAGGAGCACTCCCTTTAAGAGTGTGCTCCTAATCTCAGCTTGTTACCTGTATAAAAGACACCTGTCCACAGAAGCAATCAATCAATCAGATTCCAAACTCTCCACCATGGCCAAGACCAAAGAGCTCTCCAAGGATGTCAGGGACAAGATTGTAGACCTACACAAGGCTGGAATGGGCTACAAGACCATCGCCAAGCAGCTTGGTGAGAAGGTGACAACAGTTGGTGCGATTATTCGCAAATGGAAGAAACACAAAATAACTGTCAATCTCCCTCGGCCTGGGGCTCCATGCAAGATCTCACCTCGTGGAGTTGCAATGATCATGAGAACGGTGAGGAATCAGCCCAGAACTACACAGGAGGATCTTGTCAATGATCTCAAGGCAGCTGGGACCATAGTCACCAAGAAAACAATTGGTAACACACTATGCCGTGAAGGACTGAAATCCTGCAGCGCCCGCAAGGTCCCCCTGCTCAAGAAAGCACATATACAGGCCCGTCTGAAGTTTGCCAATGAACATATGAATGATTCAGAGGAGAACTGGGTGAAAGTGTTGTGGTCAGATGAGACCAAAATTGAGCTCTTTGGCATCAACTCAACTCGCCATATTTGTAGGAGGAGGAATGCTGCCTATGACCCCAAGAACACCATCCCCACCGTCAAACATGGAGGTGGAAACATTATGCTTTGGGGGTGTTTTTCTGCTAAGTGGACAGGACAACTTCACCGCATCAAAGGGACGATGGACGGGGCCATGTACCGTCAAATCTTGGGTGAGAACCTCCTTCCCTCAGCCAGGGCATTGAAAATGGGTCGTGGATGGGTATTCCAGCATGACAATGACCCAAAACACACGACCAAGGCAACAAAGGAGTGGATCAAGAAGAAGCACATTAAGGTCCTGGAGTGGCCTCTGTGATTGCCAACAAGGGTTTTGCCACCAAGTACTAAGTAATGTTTTGCAGAGGGGTCAAATACTTATTTCCCTCATTAAAATGCAAATCAATTTATAACATTTTGGACATGCGTTTTTCTGGATTTTTTTGTTGTTATTCTGTCTCTCACTGTTCAAATAAACCAACCATTAAAATTATAGACTGATCATGTCTTTGTCTGTGGGCAAACGTACAAAATCAGCAGGGGATCAAATACTTTTTTCCCTCACTGTACTTGCTGCTTTGCTTTGGCTCTGCCTCCCAAGTCAAAGTCGATAATGTAAAACATTGGTGTGAATTGCCCTGGCCAATTTCTGGTCCTTGTCCGCCCCTGCCCTGCAGAGTCAGGACACTGCAGAGTCAGGACACTGCATGGTGTTGATCACAGTGGTGAGAACGGCACTCCTCTCCAACAAATCACAAAGTGTGTACCGAAGCTACCTGACTGGGGCCATGAGCACAGGCCAACAAGGATTAGTACCTATTATCTTTAGTGAAACGCATCATTAGACCTCAGCACATGACATACTGTAGTTTAGGTGGAGGTAGAAGAGATAATTAAGTGCAAGAAGAACTCCTCATCCTTCTGTTGTAAGGTGTAATTTGTCACAGTGCAACAGATAAACGGTTAGTTTCTACCAAGTTCACTTACAGCCAAGGAACAAGGCAGGCAAGTCGGAGAGGGAAGCCAATGCTCATTATTGAAGAAAGGAACTTGGCGGAGCTGAAGTTGGGCTATAAATGGGGACATATTGCCAACTGCCCTTCACTAAGGGCATTTCAAGGGTCAGGGAGAGAGACACTTGGGGGGGGGGGGGGGGGGGGTCAATCAATTCACTCACTGCTTTCACGCTGACTACTAATCACCCAATTTAGATCCTACATCTCCACTTTCCCCCTGCCAAATGGCATCTCTCAAGGTGTCAAAGGACTGTCAGTGTTAAGCTACATGTCTATTAATATTCTCCACAAAGAGAGGGAACAGGGCATCTCGCTCTGCGTGGAAAGGGTGCCATCCATCACATGGTAATGCCCATTGTGAGTTTTTTGTCAGACACTGACTTTTCACTCAGGCACCTTGAGAGGTCCATTATTTCAGAAGTTTAGGGAAAAAAAGTGTCCTTAGCCTACAAAGATAAATGGAGGTAAATTTTTTTACACTGATAATTAAAATTTCACTTTTGCTCTAATGATGCTGTTCCTCTCCCGCTATCCTCCCTCTCTGTAGAGAGACTCCAGAAAGGCAGATGATTGAACAAAATTGATCTTAGGCCGCTGGCTTGATTAAACACCATCTCTCATAAATCATTCATCACACGAGGCAAAAGTACAATACTGTAGACTGGAAATACGTCTCCCTTTAAATTATATTTTCAGGCATGCTTGTTTTAATTATTTTTGTCGAGTATGTTGTGCCCTCACCCTGTAGCCCTTTTGCTACGTTACACCCCAAATGCCTGTGTCTGAGAATTATCCACTGGGAAGAAATATGAGCTAATGCCAGTTGACAGTGAGAAGCCAATCTGTGTTTTACTTTTGCTTCCCCAGGAAGAGGAACTGGCGAGAGACAGCCGTGGGTTTTACTTCCGTGGCTATGGACTGGGTCACTGCCTACAGACCAAGGACGGAACAACTGTGGAGGGGGCTACGGTCTTCACCCCGCCGCCACCGCCGGTGTCCACTGTTTACGATGGCGAAGCGGTCCGCAAGTGCTTCGTGGACCGGGCCAAGCGCATCGACACGATATCCAGGGCCGTCTTCCCTCTGAGCTTCCTCTTCTTCAACATTTTCTACTGGATCACCTACAAAGTGCTGCGACACGAAGACATCCACGCAAACTTGTAGTACGCCCTCTGCTCTAATCCCCACAACTTCTTCATTGTTTCATGCTACTTTTCAGTTTTTCTTCTTTCAACCAAAACTGCCTGCCAGATATACATTAAAAAAGAAGTGTTTCAGAGGCGTATGCTTCGTAACCATTGATGCTAAAAACTCTGTGCTCAGGTAGGTCTTCAGGATCTCAGAGAGAGATCATGTGAGCAGAGAACAAAGTGAAGATATGGATTCAAACTGTTGTTAGATTGCTGTTTTGTTATTGCGTTCTCTTTTATCTTACTCATCTTGTTTTGACTGGATTTCAACAGACGCTACAGACGCGAGACATAACAATGCTAGTCTTTGAACTTCTTCCTGAACTCTGAAGTCGTGGTCTTTGCCTTTAGCCATATTCCAAAGTGAATATTGATTGTGGCTGGATGGATAATGCTGACTTGAATTTTAGCACTCAATGCATCTTTTGAATGAATGTTTTTAAAAAATAACAATTTTAAAAAATAAGGCTTTTTTACAACTTTAGATTGCTAAACAAATGTGGGAGGGATTGGGGTCTTTGATATTCTGGATATTTAATGGGGTGGTGATATGTTGTTTTAACTACATATGACAAGAGATTATATATATATATATATGTATCACACACACAAATGTATAAACTGTAGATAAACAGAGTTGTTCATCAATTGCACACATCACAAATGTGTATTTCCTTTTGTCTAACATTTGAATAAATGGGATATTCTGCCATGAAATCGCAATTGCTTTTGCTCCTCTGTCGCTAAATCTATTGTTGGCGGAAGATCGAAATTGCTCACATCACAGAAGTGCAGAGCCGTAATACACAGAAGATTCAAGTCTGACTTTCAGAACACACAGTCAGGAAATTCCCCAACAGATTTACAGCATCATAGACAATTGCTTTCTGTTATAGTCTTCCATTAGTTTCCATTATAAACTGGGTGGTTCGAGCCCTGAATGCTGATTTTGCTAAAAGCCATGGTACAGTATATCAGACAATACCACGGGTATGACTAAATATATATATTTTTACTGTTCTAATTATGTTGGTAACCAGTTTATAATATCAATAAGGCACCTCAGGGGTTTGTGGTATATGGGCAATATACCATGGCTAAGGGCTGTAATCCTAAGAACAGCCCCTTAGCCGTGCTATATTGGTCATATACTACACCCCATCAGGCATTATTACTTAGAATACATCAACAGTGGGCCAAATTCCATTAGGCAAGTGCAAAATAGAAAAGTGTCACCACTATTTCATGACATTTTACAACTTTGCCTCCCAGCAAATAGAATATCAGTGAACAGCTCACATCAACAGTTTTTGAAGGCTTTTTTCCCAGGTCATTAATTGTCGCTAGCAGAAACATGCATCACTCCTATGCTTTTCTCTATTAGAAGCATTACTGACAGAATCCTTGAGTGAAACGTATGAAAGCTACTATTCATTTTCTTGTCCCCAGTATTGCTATGGAGGTGTGGAGACGTGGAAAGAAACAGGGCATTGCCGGCAAGGGAGGATAGTTAAAAAAAAATGGGATATCAGAGGGTGTTTTATCAACTAATGAGTTCGAAAAGGACTCGCCGTTCATTGCTAATGACAATGAATTCAGACCAGCAGCTTCTGTATGCTATGCTCCCATGGGCGGGAGAGGGGTGTGTGTGTGGGGGGTGGGATCTGTGCCTTTAGATGTCTATGTTCATGGAAGGTTAAGGTAGGAGGTTGTGGACCCTTGATGAATCGATGCATATGGACAGAACTATTATCAAAAACCAGCACGTAAACCAATCAGACTGAAAGGGAGTGGGAGCTCCTCTCTCTACTTGGGGGATAGTTGCATACGATCTCCATACAATCCCATTTTGAAGGGGCTATTTTTCCCATCTGATGGAGCTTGTCATTATGGTTCTGAAATTACGTGTACAGTCGTGGTCAAAAGTTTTGAGAATGACACATACTAATTTCACAATGTCTGCTGCCTCAGTTTTGATGATGGCAATTTGCATATACTCCAGAATGTCATGAAGAGTGATCAGATGAATTGCAATGAATTGCAAAGTCCCTCTTTGCCATGAAAATGAACTTAATCCCCCCAAAAACATTTCCACTGCATTTCAGCCCTGCCACAAAAGGACCAGCTGCCATCATGTCAGTGATTCTCTCGTTAACACAGGTGAGAGTGTTGACGAGGACAAGGCTGGAGATCTCTCTGTCATGCTGATTGGGTTAGAATAACAGACTGGAAGCTTTAAAAGGAGGGTGGTGCTAGAAATCATTGTTCTTCCTCTGTTAACCATGGTTACCTGCAAGGAAACCTGTGCCGTCATCATTGCTTTGCACAAAAAGGGCTTCACAGGCAAGGATATTGCTGCTAGTAAGATTGCACCTAAATCAACCATTTATTGGATCATCAAGAACTTCAAGGAGAGAGGTTCAATTGTTGTGAAGAAGGCGTCAGGGTGCCCAAGAAAGTCCAGCAAGCGCCAGGACCGTCTCCTAAAGTTGATTCAGCTGCGGGATCGGGGCACCACCAGTGCAGAGCTTGCTCAGGAATGGCAGCAGGCAGGTGTGAGTGCATTTGCACGCACAGTGAGGCGAAGACTTATGGTGGATGGCCTGGTGTCAAGAAGGGCAGCAAAGAAGCCACTTCTCTCCAGGAAAAACATCAGGGACAGACTGATATTCTGCAAAAGGTACAGGGATTGGACTGCTGAGGACTGGGCTAAAGTCATTTTCTCTGATGAATCCCCTTTCCGATTGTTTGGGGCATCCGGAAAACACCTTTTCCGGAGAAGACAAGGTGAGCGCTACCATCAGTCCTGTGTCATTTTAACAGTAAAGCATCCTGAGACCATTCATGTGTGGGGTTGCTTCTCAGCCAAGGGAGTGGGCTCACTCACAATTTTGCCTAAGAACACAGCCATGAATAAAGAATGGTACCAACACATCCTCCGAGAACTTCTCCCAACCATCCAAGAACCGTTTGGTGACGACCAATGCCTTTTCCAGCATGATGGAGCACCTGGCCATAAGGCAAAAGTGATAACTAAGTGGCTCTGGGAACAAAACATCGACATTTTGGGTCCATGGCCAGGAAACTCCCCAGAACTTAATCCCATTGAGAACTTGTGGTCGATCCTCAAGAGGCAGGTGGACAAACAAAACCCCACAAATTCTGACAAACTCCAAGCATTGATTATGCAAGAATGGGCTGCCATCAGTCAGGATGTGGCCCAGAAGTTAATTGACAGCATGCCAGGGCGGATTGCAGAGGTCTTGAAAAAGAAGGGTCAACACTGCAAATATTGACTCTTTGCATAAACTTAATGTCATTGTCAATAAAAGCCTTTGACACTTATGGAATGCTTGTAATTATACTTCAGTATACCATAGTAACATCTGACAAAAATATCTCATAACACTGAAACAGCGAACTTTGTGAAGACCAATACTTGTGTCATTCTCAAAACTTTTGACCACGACTGTATACCCTTCCACATGCCCACTGCAGAGTTAATCCAAGGTGGTCTAGAAGGCCCATCATAAAACACTGTCCTCACTATGACAAGTTAGTAACTTTGATGATGACCCCATTTTCCAGACACAAATCCATGAAAAGAAACATCGGAAACGGGGTAAGGCGAGGCATATCGCCTCGGAGAGTTGAAGGGTTTCTGGACATGAGAACGAATATAGTGGGATGACACATTCGCTTAAGCCCTGCATACTCGCCTCTGACTGCTTAAGTAGATTTTTCAAAGGAATCTGAGGGCAATAGGCAAATGTCAAAAAGATTGGCTATTGTAGTTGAAAGTGAGGGTCTGTCTGTCTCTCGGTTTCCTCACAGCAATCACAACGCAAGGGGGAGAGACTGCAACAGGAAACGTTCCAGGTCCAAAATGGAGACTTTACTTTAACAACCCTTACAGCAATAATGTATCCATTTATTTGAATTATGGCTCTGTATAACATGAGAAGATATTGTCTCATTTTGTGGAGAGAAACAATGCTTTTGTGTCAGTTTAAGAGGCTTTTCTAAATCTGCAATCCATGACTGACACGCAAAATAAGCCCTGTGTTTTCTGGCGCATCACTCCCACTACGCTCCATCCTGCTCCCACCTGCTTCATCCCCACCTCCTGAAGGGAACAGTTATCCTCATGGTCTCTTTACGCAGGGAAATGGGGGAAGATTGAGGGGTGGGGGGGCTCTAATGGTTTCCAATAAAGTGGAATCTCATGGATGTCCCTGTAAGACAGCTCCGCGGACCTTCCTCTTGACAAGCGACCGGGATTCATAAGCTAACTGTCATTACGCACTTAATCCCCGGGAACGTGAGGACTTTTACAAACACCGCTCTCGCTCTCTTGCACACTCTGTGAGAGTAGCATGATTGATCTTGGCGAGGTGGCCCCCAGGTTTTCTCCTGATGATTGATCTTGGTGAGGTGGCCCCCAGATTTTCTCCTGATGGGCATCATAGGTAAAGGCGGAACCACAGAGCCCTCTAACGGTCTAATCAATAACCTAATTTTCCATTGGAACGATGGCTTCAAATGAGAATATTAAATATTTATTCACTCGCCCGACCTTAAAAGCCGCTTAACAATGCCACGTCATTCCCAACAGGTGACATCAGTCGACTTCGATGACTTCTGTAGCGAATTTGGCCCAACCAGGCACTTGAGAAAAGGATATGGTCTGTGTGTTGTTCCATTTCTTCTATTTCGTCATGGCAGGCTTTATCATTTGTTGGTTGTCCATGAGCATTCAACAGCACAGGTAAACAGGACAGACCTGTTGGTTTGATGGATGCGTTGGTCCGCTGTGTCATGGGCATGTCCTTGCCTCCCCCATGGGGATAATCAACATGCTTTCGCCACTTCCTCTGAGTAGAATGTCAATGGGAGCCACAGGTAAAGACTGATGTGTGCGCCACCATGGAGCATCCTGGGACTGTTGTAATCAATACTGTTGTCCTTTTGAAT